CAGAGACAGAGACAGAGACAGAGACAGAGAGACAGAGAAAGAGAGAGCACAAAAAAGCTTCAAGATGAGTTTTGTAACTTCAAGTAGAAACAGCATCAAGATCAAGCTATTAACATGGATCTGTCTTCTTCATCCCTGTTATAGATATAATCATCATCTAAGCTTTTCATGTACTTATATTAAATCTAATAATATTCTGTACCATGTCTGGCCATGTTAAATTTATTCTAAATATGTTTGTGTGTATATCTATAATAAAATTTCCACCTTTTTAATGTACTTGGTTGTTGCAAGGTGTCACTACACAGATCAGACTCATGGTAATCCTGCTTTCAACCTCCCCAGCACTGGGATTACAGGCAGGTGCCACTATGCCTGGACTCTGGCTGGATCAGCTCACCCAGGGGGCTGGGCTGGCACAGTATGTGGTGCTGGGGATTGAACTGTGGTCCCTGCCCTTACTAAGCTTGCCTAAGCAAGCACTTTATTCCCCTGAGAGCTCTCTCATTGGCCTCCACTTAATTTTTTTTTTTTTTTTTTTTTTTTTTTGTATTTAGTACAGGGTCTACAGGGTCTCACTACATAGACTGGACTCATAGTGATTCTCCTATTTTCAGCCTCCCAAGTGCTGTGATTACAGGCACTTACCACCACGCACAGTCTCAATCACCATCTCAGCACAACCCAGGAGCAGCTCAGCATGGCATGCTGGGGATTGAACCCAGGATGTTGTTCTGTGCCTAAGCAGGCGCTTTAGTCCACTGAGCTATCAGGCTCGCCCACCCTTATTTTTAATTAAACGTAAAGTAAGAACTTCTTTCTTTCTTTTTCTTTCTTTCTTTCTTTCTTTCTTTCTTTCTTTCTTTTGTATTTTCAGGGAAGGGTCTACAGTCTCTACAGGGTCTCACTATGCAATCCGACTCATAGTGATTCTCCTGTTTTCAGCCTCCCAAGTGCTAGGATTACAGGTATGTACCACCATGCCCAGTCTCAATTGCCATCTCAGCACTCCCTAGGGGCAGGACCAGAGAAGCAGGCCTGGGGATCGAGCCTCCACCCCCTGTGCCTGCTTGCAGTTGCTTTAATCCACTGAGCTATTTGGGTGGCCCTATAAAAAAAGAATTTCTAAAGAAATAAATTCTGTCAAGCACACAACTTTTTGTACAATTAGGTAGTTTGCACAAAAAAAATGATTATAGTATATTTTGACAATTTTTCTTATGCTTTATACACATACACACTAACATAAAAACAGATGCATACTTTTTAATATGTTTAGCTAAAAGATTTTCTAGGAATGTCTTTAGAAATCACTCAAATGTACTATGGAAAAAGTAATCAGTGTGAAGTGCACAGACTCTGTCACTTCAGTTTCTGCCAGAAGTCATTCATGTCCCTGTGGTTGCTATGGTGCAGAATGCTTCCATTTTTTCAGCCAGCACCTCACCTGCCAAAGAACTGACAGAAATGCCTGCTTCAGCTTCCTATTTCCCCAAATCAGTACGTATGAATGGCATGAAGGATAAAAGGTCCCAACAACTTCAGAGAACAAGAGCAGTTCGTGTTGCCACCAAATAGAAAGCCAATTAGATATAATCACACACAAAGAGTATGTGGCAAATAACAAGAGAAAGGAGATCATTGTTTGCAAAGCCTTCACATGCGCCTTGGAGCTGGGGTCGCACAATCCCTTGCCATAGGCCTGCATCTTCATAAGATGTTTGCAAAGGGAGTAGATTAACAACAGAAAACAGATCAGGGATACAAAAAAAGGCGTGGCTATCACTAGATGAAATACAGCTACATGTAAAGTGTTATTTACGGTGTCCCTCGGTTCCATCTTCCACGTGCCGTTTCCTTCACATTCCTTTGTCCTCATTGTCTCATGTCCAGTCACCATCACAAGATGAAGAAGCAGTAACACAAATGTCCCCAACAGTATACCCAAAATGACACTCTTCACTCTTCTTTTCAAATGAAGAAAAACAAAGTTGGAGAAATTGGCTACTTTGAGCAAATAAAATATGCTCAGGCCAGCAGCAAGCCAGGTACTAAAATGATTGGTTATTGACCAGGCCATGAGAAAATAAATGTTTTTGCTACTTTCTAAAACTGGATTAAGCACAGTTATAAACAAATTTATTATTATTACCCAAAGCAAGCCAATCCTGGATATAGCCAGAGCAGTGATAATCTGATCAGCTAAAGAGAGCTTTTTTTTTCTGACCCAGTCAATGTAGTTCACCAGTACTATGAAAACATTGGCAAATTTTCCAACAACAAATTCTGCCATGGCTAAGATCAAAATGCTCCACAGAAAAATGATCATATCTTAAAAAAAAAAATCAGAAAGCACAGGGCTTAATTCCTCAAATCCATTGACTATATTCTATGTGCCACTGACTTGCGGGTGGGCAGTTCTGTTTTTTCTTTTAAATCCTGTGACCACTGTCAGGAAGGAAAGCAACAGAGTGTGCTTGTGGATTAATTCCATCCTGTCTTTATATAAAACTGCTTTTTTTTTTTTACCTAAGAACTAAAATTAGCCCTTACTCATAAATCTTGCCACAGACAAGCACGGATCCTAACTAATGTCAGAGTGAAAGCTGCATTCTAATTTGCTAGAATGCAAATAAAGAGATATTCTATTTCAGTACTCAGCAGTCTTTCCTTGTTCTACCTCTCTCTAGTTTGTGTAAGTCTACTTTAGTTTCTTAAAAGTAAAATTTTAGATCACAAAACAGGAAGCACACAGTGAATATCTAAATCATTTGATGAAGCTTGGTTTGATTTAGAAACATCAACACTACTGACTTTTTTTTTTTTTGGTCCCAAGTGTCCTGAGAAGGCAGAACTATGTTTATTCAACCACATAAAATGCATATAGGAAGCTTTTCTTCAGGAGCTGGTGGCCGGTACTCAGCAGTGCACAGATAAAAATATACGACTTTCAACACAGACCTAAATACCCTCACATTGTAAAAATCAGAATTCTCCACACAAGTTTTAAACTGGCAGAATTCAAGTTCTGAGTTTTCATATATATAGCTTTCACTTGTATTAAATATGTTTATTTATGTGTGGCTAGAGAATAAGGGGCTATTAAGGCCATTTTCTCATTGCAAAACACTGCAAAATATTTACATGAGTACAACCTAATATAGGCAAAGGTTCTAAAAATCATCTTTCTCGACTGAACGTAATTGAGTATGGAAGAGAAGGGGACAGCTTGTCCCTAGCACCAAACCACACCAACAGAAGCACAGGTCTTTGCTTTCCCGTCCAGTTGCCTGAGGGGCTGAAGCTGCTCCACACCCCAAGCTGGCCCAAAGGGCACTTTACTGTTCCCTCAATTCCATGTCCAAATTGGGCTCAAGGTCCAGAGTCAAAAAATCATTTCTGGAAAGACTCAAGGCAGCCAGGGCTCCTGGAGCTAAGGTGCTCTGGGGGAGGGTCAATGACAGCCCCTAGACACCCTCAGGAAGGGCCTGAGGCCAGCAGTTTCTGAAGTCCCCTTCATCGCAGGTGCCAGCTATGCCCAGGGTGGTCCCGTTCATAGTGATGACCACTGTGCTCATAGGACCTCGAGCGCTCCCGCTGCTGATCTCTGTAGTAATGACTTTTTTTCTTATATTTTCCAGAATGATCCATCCGCTCCCGTGACCGACTTCGCGAACGAGATGAGCTGCGGCTCCGAGACTTGTGTGGCTTCTGTGTGGGGTACTTGCAGTCTTTGGGCTTCCGAGAGCCCCTCACCTCAGAGCCTTTGTAGGGAGCTCCTCGGTGCACCAGTCTTGGTGGCGAGTCACTCCGGCTCCGCGAGTGGCTCTGTGACTTGGACCCACCAGATGTTGAGCCGCTGTCACTTTTCCTGTGAGGAAGGACAGCACACCTCCTTTTGGGCGACGTGGACCTTGATGGGGACGTCGAGCAGCTCTGCTTCCGGCTCTGACTCTTACCCTCACGCACCTTTGGCAAACCGTTCACAGGGCTGTCGGCCTTGGCTTTCTTTGAGCCCTCTGCCCTCCTCTTGGCACTTTTCACAGACATTGGGGAAGGCTTGTTTCCTTTGCCTCCTTTGGGAGACTCTGGCCTGTGGGCAGGGGAGAAGCCTGCGCTGCTATCTGGTACCGGCGCCCCAGGCAGCAGGCCCCGGGCCTGGGCCTTGGCCTCCTCCAGGGCATGCTTTCTCTTCTCCACCTCGCTCTCCAGGTACATGAGGTCCACCTTTTTCCGTGTATAAAGCTGAAGGATTTTTAAGCAGATTTCTTGAATTTCTTCTTAAGTTGCTCCAAACAAAAGAAACCAATGGGGACGATTAGGCAAAGGGATCTCCAGGGTGCGGGCGGCGAGGTAGATGCAGGCGCAGGCAATGCTCTCGGGCTGGAACCGCACAAAAACATCTGTGCGGAGGCTGTCATTCATGTAGTTCCATGCAGTCTGGACCAGGTGTTGGTCACGCTCACACTCTAACACCTGAAGGTACATAACGATTATCTTGTGAGGGTGATTTACGTGACACAGAAGCCTAGCTCCTTCAGAACACGTCTTTCCGCCTTAATGATCTGTTTTTTTAAATTAACGTAGTCCTGGTCCAGCAGCAGAGGAACAGCCTTTTTTTTTTTTCTCTCTCAGATGTCGAAGGCAATGAAATACATTGATGACATCCCGGATTCTTCTTGGAGCTTCTTCAATTTTGGAGGCCAAGTGCACACAAGCCATGGACACATGCTCCATGGAATGCTTCACGAAGGACTTGGTGTAAAAGAACTGCTGGAACAGCACCTGCCCTGTAGCCATGGCCACCTGCGCAGAAGGATGCCGGCCGCCTGGATGAGTTTGCAGCCCACCACGCGAAGACCAGTCTCAGTGTCAGTGTCCAGGCCACTCGACATGGACGGTGTGAAGCGTAGTTTGTCGTCGGGCAGCAGGCAGTTCTCCAGGGTGATGAGCACTCTTGAGTACAGCTTGTCCCAGATCAGCAAACCCTGCGACCCGGGCGCAGCTCCCCCGAGCCGGGGGTGCCGGCCGCCGCGGTGGGAGCTTCTGGGCCGGGAACTCCCGCCTACTGATTCATTTTAAACGTCAGATTTAGGCATAAAATTCACAAATTTTTCAATCAAAAACAGCTAAGTCTCTCTTCTGAAAGTAAAAAGAACAACTGTCTTACCTTTCTCTTGTTGCTGAGAAAAAATATGCAATGCACAAAAACTAAGGAAGGAAAGGTTTATTTAGCTCCCAGTTTGTGGAGAATTAAGTCCAAAATCAGCTGGCTCTAAGGCAGGGTGGCATGGCAGAAGGGCAACAGTTCATGACCACAGAAGACAGCGAAAGCAGCAAGGGCAAAAATGGGGAGAAAAAAGCCTCTTGTCCTCCCTTATATTATATGCAAGCTACCCACCCTTGGGACAGTATGGCACTCATACTATCTCTGTGCCCTCCTCTCGCACAAGCTGAGGATGTTTAAAAAGTGAGGGCCCTAGTCCCCTGCTGAGTCACTTAAATTTCTAAACTTCTCAAGCTGACACAATGAACAATATCCCAGAGCACTAAGGGCGCATCCTCCACATTCTAGGATGTAGAACTACTGAGTTACTTAGCTGAGCTTCCAGACTTCTCAAGTTCACACAATGTATCAACCATAACAACAATCTCTTTAAAGCTGATACATGTAACTGATAGTGTCTATACATTAGTTTATTCTTTAGAACCTGAAAAGCATACCTATTATAGTATAGTGTTTTGCAAAAGTGAACAATACAATACCTGACACATATGCTATAAAATTATTTTATAATAGTCACTCAAAGAATCATATACAAAGAGTGCAGGAAATCTGTCCAAACACTAAAAACCAAAGAATCCAGCTGAAGGCCTGGATTCCATGGTAACAGCCTGCATGAATCCAGCTAAAGACCTAGGACCTATAACAATGCCTCCCACAAGTCCAACTGGAGCCTAGAGCCCAGGACAACATCTGACACAGGTTTGTTTCACGGATATGTGCTGGGAAAGCCCAAAGATAAGTGATGGAAGCTAGAAAGTCTGTGGCAGTGGGATGAAGGATCTGTGTTAGTGGGCTGAGGGATCTGAACTGCAGCCAGGAAGTGACACTAAAAATAAGAAGCAGAGCATCTCTGAAAAGTACCACAGCCACTCTCAGCAACAGTGAGGTCCCAAGTTCTGCCAATGAGGAGGAAAGCTGAGTTCCCATCAGGAAAACCAATGCAACAAGCTTCGCCAGGACACTGAGTTATACACTATCTTGACGTCCAGAACCAGGAAACAATATTGAAAGTGAGAGCCAGAACTCTTCCAACACAAACCATACCATTCTCAACAACAGTAAGGTCCTGAATTCCCTCCATGATAAGAACAATTCAGTTCATCAGGAAAGCCAACAAGACAAGCTCCTCCGGGAAAACCAACAGCACCTACAAGCTTCTAAACTTGTTTCTCTCCACTTCTGCCTCTTATGCTACTGACAACAATCTTCAGGTGGGCCTTCCACATGCAGCACCACACTGGTTCAGTTCAGCTGGGCATTACAAATTGACCATCAGTTGTCAGTCCACCACAATACCTGTTCATGCACACACGTATAAGCACAAACATGCATGCACATATCTCCTACAGACGGAAAAAATTATTGTCCTCTAATCTTCAAGGTGAAAATTGTGCTTCCAGGGATTGTATAAGTTTATTTTTTTTCCAAAATTTTATTGATAAACAGTAATGAGATAGTTTCAAATAAAATCGGAAGTACAGTTTCAACAAATAACACACTGCATATATTCTTCTTAGTGGTTAATTGCTGTACAAGATGCGGACTTGTGATCCT